GTACACATCAAATACACCCATCCCCCCCACCCCCCCGTCACAAGAAAATTCTTGCCACATGCTTCTGTCCTCCAGACTTACACAGCATTTTATTGTGTGGAACACATCAAAAGGGCTTGGATCCCTTGTAAAAGTTTTACAGCAAAATCATTGAAGAGCAGTACAACTTTTTTTTTTATTCAAAACTAGAACCAATATTCTGGATTCCCACACTTTGGTGTGGACTCAGAAAGCGCAGTGCTTTTCTGTATGGTACAGCAGAAAATACAGACCTTGTATAATTAGAATTGCAGTCATGGCCTGTGGGATCTAGTGATTTGGACATATTTTATTTAACCAGCTTAGTAAAAGGTAATATTCAGCAGCTGTGATCTATAGCAGAATTACAATTTTCAGGGTCAAGGAGGGATTTTGATATTAGGAGGTTGGGCAGAATTGCTGTAAAATCTCATGAGCTGTCGTTAAAAATAAATGAGAAAATAGGTTATCCAAGAGTCATTGTAAGGGAAAAATCAATAGGCAGTGTCTATTCACTTGGGCTATCAAAATCCTTGAAATTTGAACAAAAGTTTCACGTTTAGTGTGCTGTAGGTTTTGAAATGTAAGTGGTGAATGCTCAGAGGGTACAAATTCATTGTGCTGTGCATTCAAACAAGAAGAAAACCTTCTGAAGTTTTGGAGTTCCCTATTAAGATAGTCCAGTATCTTAGGCACTAAATTAGACATGTAAAACATTTGCCAGTGAAACTTCAGAAGCAATTTTACCTAAGTGATGACAAATACACTCTTGAAAATATATTACAGTTTTTAATCTCGTCCTGGTTTTCTGGGAACCCTCCCTCTCTCGTTTGGTTTACAATTGAAGCAGAGAAGAGGGGGAGTCCTGGAGCCCTGACAGCATTAAGCAAGCTCATCCTGCCCACCGAGAAGCAGTAAACGACGAAGATTGAAAATGAACATTATTGATAATTTTGAACTGTGCAGATAATTGATATGGAAAGGGGATATCATTCTCATTCAGAAACAATTAACTTTCCCCTCCAACACAGCAGTTCAAAGCAACCTCGGCCTTTTAAATATGAATGAGTATAAGTTCAGAATATGCAACTATTAGCTATTGCAATATACACAAACGGAGAAGTAGGAATTCATGTTTTAGAAATGTCCATGGAACCACTGAATTGAAAAGCATCACAAATGAATGTTGTGTGCAGATTCCTCTCTACATATTGGAAATGTGTCTTGGCTCCAAAGCCATTAGAAAAATGAGACAGGCAATACTAAACACGTTTGGAATGCTTCTTTTATTTGATATAATAATTAATATACTCCACAAGTCCAGTTCATGATTAGTTCAAGAATGACAACTTATACATACAGTATGTATAAGAGCTTAGTAGACAATACACAATGCAAATGGACATCCTCAAATAAATTAGCTCAAAGCACAGCAGTTTGGAGGAACTAAATATTCTTTTGCTACTAAACTGCAAAAACCTAGCAGATTGGTACTTTATTTTAATTTTGGAAGGTGCATATTCAAGGGAATATAAAATTGAGCTTATATGAACCCATCAACTCTGTGCTGTGAGGCCATTACACTTTTACTGGCATAAGTGACCAGAAACTAGTCTATACCCATAACAAAACAGGAGTTTGGGGGACACAAAATGCTGGGGCCCGGTCTGAGATCCCTCCACCCCACCAAAAGGTGAACGTGTGCCCTATTCACTCCTATGCCTCTTACAGAAAAGAGCATAACTTAGATCAATTCCATCTTGGCTTTCTGAATATCTGTACCTACCCTAAGGTCTATTTTAACTGTAAGATGAGAAACTGCATTATTTTCTCAGGTTTACAAAGTACATTTTTTTTTAAACAGCGTAAAAATGATTTTGAGCATTTCTTATGACACCCACAGCCTAAGTGATCCAGATAATGTAATCTAACCATCATTAGAAACCATGAAATTACAATTCCTCCGGGATGGATATTTATCTCTCTGTTACATACAGAAAGGCGATTAATTAGTAGCTCTTTCAGTGTTTAACATTACTGTGCACCAGGGCTGATTAAAATCTAACTGCAGAACAGCTACCATAGCTAGCAAAAAATCTGGGAAAAGTTTAGCTGGGGCAAATAGAAGCTGTTTAGGTAGAAAAGTTTTTTAAAAAAAGAAGATACAATACCATCTTAGACGCAGAGACCTTCAAAGGCCAAAAAACCAAGCTTCCTTCCAACTTCCATTGCATGCTAAAATCATTACAGAGTTGTATAACAACCTCAATACACAACAAACTGTATCCACTATTTTGGGATGGTAGTCCTGTTAGCAAAATAGCCAGCGATTTTATAGGCATGAATACAGATTACATACAGACTGAGCTATATAGTATTATTATGAACTACTTACTCCAAGGTTCAAATCAAAGTGTTTTCTAGGTCAAGCAGCTGTAGACATACACTTGCGCATGCAACATAGCATATATGCACCAAGGACCAAATTCGCATCTCTTCTGTTGTACCTTCACTAGCTTTTGTGGAATTAATATGCAATTATCCAGTGCCTGGATGTGCAGAAATTTCACCCCCAAGATTTTCACAAGTGATGGGAAAATTTGGATACCACAGCTTCTTCCACGAACAACTTGAGATGCTTTTAAGATGACTGATTTTCAGAGAGTCGATACTCTGCAGTTTTGGAAAGCAGCTTAAGTGTTTTGAGACAGGCAGCTGAAACATGGAGGTATCCAAAATCAGCAATGGCTTTTAAAAATGGCTTTTAATACTTCAGAGGCATCGGACTAATGTAAGCATGTTTGGTCTAGGTGAGTAGGATGAAGGAATTTAAAAATAAAATCAGTATCCCTTAGGGAATGTTAGATTTTTTTTTTAATATATATATCTGTACCAGAAAATCAAAAGGTCAGATTGGTTAATGTGAACTCCAAAGCTGATTTGGGGGATTCCATTAAAAAAATCCAGATCTACTTCAGCAGATGCTTCTGAAGTTTCTATCAGGACTGATCACACCCAGCTGCATTGCACATGCCCCTGTTTTGCTGTGGATAAATACTGTAGAAGAACTAAAGACTGGAGACCTTTTGAACAGAAGTGAATATAGTGGGGGAAGGACACTTTACCCCGCATTCTCGATCCCCAAGAGCTGAGCCATTGATTGTTAATCTCCTTTTTGTGGCATGTATTGTGTAGATGCTGCTCTCTTCTGGCTGCCTATACAAATTTTAATATTCAAAATAGGAATAAAAAAGTGAAATAAAAGGCTGAGCGGAAATCAAACATGGCTTTACAATGCTGAGGGTAATGGAGTCATCTTCATGGTCTCATCACTGAAAGGTGACCCTCACTCCAGTGTTTCACAGGTCAGCACTAACACTGAAGTAAACAGGAACTCTTTTAACAGTCCCTTAACACTTTCTGGTACACCTAATGCAGTTTTAGGGTGCTCAGAGAGGATGTTTGATGGCACGGAGGCAGCATTTATTTATCAAGTTAGCAATAAGCAACCATTTGTTGAAGACATACACAAGACATGTTTAATGGGGGAAATGACACTGGAAAAATCAAATGAATTTGTGCACTTAGCCATATTATTTCCTCTCACTAATCGTAGGACCAATAGCAGATGTAACAAGAAAAGCGAAGGTCCCACATAGGTGGTGTCAGGAAAAAAACACACACACTGTCACGGACATCCCGACCGCTATAAATAAGATCCAAATCTTTGACTCCCTCTTGCGCAGCCTGCAGGCACAAATAGCTGAACACAACGTTAAATAAATCAAGTCTCCGATATAGCAGTACGAAGGGGAAAGAAAACAATTAATACCACATTTCAAAATTGACAAGACATCTTTGGCCTGGGTCATGTGAGTCCTTGCTCAATTTTTACCCATTCAAAACCCCTACAGGCTTTAACAGAAGCGAAGACTTCAGAGTTCGGCAGTATGAAAATAGGAATCAGCTAGCACTGAACAATGCCTGTGCAACTTGTCATCTTCTATTTCCTGAAGTCTGTTTTATAGGTAACATTTACCCCAGTTTAGATGGGCAACAGAGGGCTAAGACAGGTACCACTTAGATTGTGTGGATAAAGTAGTACACAGGATCCGCGCTGCAGTTATCTGCACGAGACGAATTTCACCCGAGTGTGCGCTCAGGTGAAACAGCGCTCTGACACTAGGCGTGTGTGACATTCATGGGCTTCTGCCACTTGAGGGGGGGGGGGGGGAAACCCGGGCCTTGGGGTTTT